GTAAGAAACAGGCATGTGAAAGAAAGAAACACAGAACTAGTAAAATGCTGAAAAGAAATTGCTTTTTCAGAGATAATGGTTGATGAATTAAAAAGGGGATTCTGCAGGGTGACAAGGGGTAATAAGAATATCTCTGCAATTAAAAATATTTAGAAAATAGGGTAATATAGATACTGATAACTCTTATTAAAGGAGGGGGGGAAATATGCTGTGGAATCCAATTGAAAAGATGTAATGACTAATGGTTTATTGGGAATTAAGATGAGGGAATAAAGGTATATTCTAATCATTAAGGTGTCACACTCAAAATAGTAAAAGAGCGGAAACTTATACTTGTTCTTTTTTCTTTTTGTGTGGGTGTGTTAAGATCTGTATTAATTTAAAATTCATAAAAAATGTGTAATGGAAAGGGAATATGACAGACTAAAGAACCAGCTAAATTAATAAGTTTAATATAGATTATTAAAAGCAAGGAGAGACATTGGTAACTTCATTATTACCACTATTAGGCAAATATATATTGTTTATTTTTATTTTTAAAATAAATATTAAGGATTATATTTGAAATAATTGAAATGAAATAAAAAGATGTTTAGATTGAGATTAATGAAAGAATTTAGAATTAAACTTTATTATTATTTATTAGGCAAACACATATTATTTATCTTTATGTTTAAAAACAAATACTAAAGGATTATATTTGAAATAATTGAAATGAAACTAAATTGATTGAGATTAATGAAAGAGGCTAGAATTAATGTGTTTGTTTCTCTCCTTACTGAAAATTTGGAATGGAAAAGGTAATAATAGAATTAAGTATGCATATATCAATGTATAATCTCTGTCATATTTGTATGTAAAGATGATGACCCGGAAATATGTTGTCCACTAAAAAGAGATTTTTGTTTTTAATGTGAAAAACTGAATAAAGTCTGTTAAAATAAATAAATAAATAAATCTCTTCCATTAAATACCTAATGTAATATAAATTGATTAATGATGCAGCATGGAAAATAATGATTTCATATATAATTATATCATAATTATAGATTATTATATATGTTGAATATAGAGAAAGGTTAGCAATAATGAAATTATTAAGAAGTTTTATGCTTTAAAATATGCATGTATTATTTTTTCCATTTACTTTTTAATGCTATGTGGAAAAATCTTACAATTTTGCTTATTATATATGCATATAAATGCAGGAATGGTGTGTTATGTTGGTGTATTATTTTTTTTCTACAATCATTCATTAATGTTACCTAGGTGGCAATGAATTGCCATAATGTTTCATTTATTGTGAAGATATTTTTAGAGGACTTTGACTGACAAGCAAATTTCTTTTGGCAAAACCTGGAATAGCCCATAGGAGAAAGGGAGGGGTGGGAAAGAAGTTAGAATAAAATTTGCAGGATATTATAAATTATTTATTTATACCCTGGGTTTTAGAAAGGTAGAGTTGAATTGTTTGAAGTATATGTTTTTAAGCAATGCTCTCTGATCTTCTGTTTAATGCAGCTAGTACCTACTTCAATTTCAGATTTTAGGCAAGTAATAAACCAAAATTATAGGATAAAATAATTTGTAAGTACATTATGCCCAATGAAGAGTCAAATAAACAAACAAACAAACAAATAAATACAAAGCTTGAATTGGAACCTTAGTTCTTTCTACTGGGATTTTTTCAGAAGAATTTTAAAAAATGTCAATTTATTATGCTCCTGCCCCCAAAGTCAATTTTGCCCCAATGTTTTCTTACAAAATCAGATTGGGAAACCAATCTGTTGTTGAAGAAAATCAGCTCAAATCCCCAGAAGGGAGGAATCATTTTTAGGAACTGTTCTTCATGCAGCTGCCCTTATTCTTTTTTGAATGATAAAGAAAATATCCAATATTCTGTTCCACCATCCTAATGAAAATGGTCCGTCTGCCTTCTGGGGGTGTTTGTATGAGAGAATGCTGTTTTGTACATCTGTCTATATTCATCAATCTTTGGTTCATAACTTTCTTCTCTTCATTGGGAATATATCCTTCCTTCCATATTTCCCTAGGCCATTGCTTTCTACCAAGACTCAGAAACATTAACTTTTACAAATGAATCGGTCTTCAAAATCCCTATAATCTCATGACAAAATGTATCTGTAAAATACTGTCATAGGGAAAATGTTCCGTAAAAGATCATGAATTAAAAACCCAATTTCTGATCTTCCTCTTGAGAGAAGAGGTCATAACAGGAAAAAGTCAAAAGGTGGAGATCATAACAGGCCATTTCTACATGATAAGACCAGATGGGCAGATTAGATTTTAGCTATTGTATGAATTGTTAGAGATATCCTAGTACTATACAATAAAGGATTTGAACAATTATGGAGATTTTACTGTGTTCAAAAATTTACTGGTAACAATCTGAACACTTTAGAATAAATGTTCTTATTTGATGTAGGAATCTAATTGCCACTTTTTGTATGGCAAAATATTGATGATTACCTGAGATTACATTCACCTACAATATAATGTTAAGAACCCTTTGCATCCCCCTTTTACCTTTTCAGAAAACCAATGCTGTTAGTTTGAATAAACTGGTGAAAAAAATGGTTGCTCAGGGCAGAATACCTATTCATATTGAAGGGGGCAAAAGCATTTCAATTTATTGGGATTTCATCATTGTTCTCCTCATGCAGTTATAATTTCATGGGATAATGAAATAGTATCTTGAAAAATAAAATGCCCAAGATTTGTAAGTCAATCAAAATTGTGGTAAAATTAAAATTAGAAATTTAGCAATGAGGATATATCAAATCATCAGTGAAGGATTGTCTGTTAAATGGATGGGATTTATTTGCTAATAACTTTATATGTGTATGCATTCAACAAGAACTTAACTTGATTATTCAGTACTCCAGACATGAAGCTATTAAGGGGCAGCTCAGGCTCCTATAAGCTCTAAATGTAGTTAAGAATTTGTACTCATTTGTACTCATTTTTGTTCTACAAAAATGTTCAACATCCTGCATCATGTCATAACAGAATGAACATGGCAAAATGCTTTAAAAACCATTTTTATCTATAATATTTCATAAGGAGTATGAATTTATTCAGAAGCTGCTGTTACAGTTCTACAAAAAAATCATTGAGTCTGTCATTTGCATCTCTATGACTGTCTGGTTTGGCACAGCAACCAAACAAGACAAGGCACAGACATCAAGAGATAGTTATAATTGCAGAAAAGAACTATTGCAACCAGCCTGCCTTCCATTTAGAAATTGTATGAACCAGAAAAAGGGCTGTGAAAATTTCTACAGATGCCATACATCCCGGACATAAACTTTCAACTTCTTCCTTCAAGATGACACTATACGTCAAAACAACTAGGTACAAGGACATTCTCCCCCCCTCCATACCATCACTTTGCTAAATGAATAATTCCACAACACTGTTATATGGCATATATGTCAAATCACCCAGTATGGCTGTATTAGTATCATCCTTCTCATCTTTCCTTTACTTATTTCTTTTGCTTCTTGTGACTGTCACTTTGTTGTTTGTATCTTATGATTTAGGTTGATTATTTTTAATTAAATATCCTATTATGATTTATGTTGATTTCTTATTTAGTATACTGTGACTATCACTGAGTGTTGTATTTTATAATTTATAATTTATGATTATGATCATAATTTATCATTTGTTGCTTCTATGTACACTAAGAGTTTATGCACT